TGATCTCAGGGTTGTGAGTTTGAGCCCCACATTGGGTGTAGAGAATAACAAAAAAATAATAAGTAGCTTAAAAATATGAATGTTAAAAAAACAAGAAATCTTTGGGGCACACGGGTGGCTCAGTCGGTTAAGCATCTGACTTCGGCTCAGGGTATGATTTCAGGGTTCGTGACTTCACGCCCTGTGTCGGGTGAGCTCGAACCCCACTTGGGGTGAGCCCGGCTTCTCTCTCTCTCTCTCTCTCTCTCGCTGTCTCTCTCTTTCTGTCTCTGCTCCTCGAGGGATTCTCTCTCTCTTTCTCTGTCTCTGCTCCTAGCTCACTTATGCCCTCCCTCTCTCAAAAAATTAATTATTTACTTATTTTAATTAAATCTTAAAAAAAAATTCTCACCTCCTCGGAGAGGCCCTCCTGCCCCCCATCTGACCCCTTCCGTGATCCCCTCTCCCTCACAGTCCCCAGATCTTGCCCTCTGCCCTGCTTCCCAGCGACCGCCTCCCCAATGCTGAGTCCTACAGATTTTCACGTTTCCGCAGGTAGAAGTTAGATATACTGACCATCACAGACCCCTGGTTGAGTGAAATTCAGCGTTTATGTGTTGTTAGTCTGTTTCTCGCTCTCCTTCGTTCATTCGTTTTGTTTTTAATTCAACAATCACTCTGGGTGCCTGCTGTGTGCCAGGGCCCAGGCTGGGCCCCAGGGTTGCTGCGGGGAAGGAGACCGGCAGAGCCCCTGGCCCACGGAGCCCACAGTCAGAAGGGGTGGAGATAATAACCCAGTGTTCGGGCACATTCACGCCCGGTGTACATGGGACGTGTGAATCAGGCATGAGGGAGGGTGACTGAGTAGGTGGCAGGAAGGGAGGCTGCTTAGCTGATGTGGTCAGGGACACGTCAGAAGACACGCCAGCAGGGCTGGGGTCTGAGAGGTGAAGGGTGTCCTGGGTTCTGAAGTGCAGGGCAGAGGCCCGGAGGCGGCCCGAGCTGGGGGTATTTGTAGGAACCGTCAGGAGGCCGGGGTGCTGCGCCTGGGGAGCACGGGGCCTGAGTGAGGGCAGGCTGGCGGGAGCTTCCATGTGGCTCCTGTGGCTTCCCTCCTGGTGGCACCGAACCTTGTGGAGGCTAGGATGCCCCATGAGCACCAGCCAGGCTTCTGGGAGCGGTGACCGGCGAGTCTCAGAGGGTCTGGATCGTCCGGGTGCTTCCCCAGAAGGGGACCCTGGGACCAAGACCCAGGCAGGTAGGAGGAAGAACGGGCAAGATGGGGGGAATCTGAGGCAGGCTGCTGTGGGAGGGAGGGAGCTCCCCGTCCCTGGAGGTATGCAAGCAGCCATCCGCCAGAATGCCCGAGCATCCGACCGTAGGAACCTGGGTACCGAGATGGCACAAGGCCCTCTGTCCTGCCCCACAGGTGTAAGACGTGCGGAGAATACATCTACAAGGGCAAGAAATTCAATGCGCGCAAGGAGACGGTGCAGAACGAGGCCTACCTGGGCCTGCCCATCTTCCGCTTCTACATCAAGTGCACGCGGTGCCTGGCAGAGATCACCTTCAAGGTAGACGCCAGCCGGGCTGGCCCTGCCCCCTCGGGAGCTCCCCGCCGTCCTCTCCCCGCAGGGAGTCCCCCTTTCACTTTATCCCCAGGAAACAGGCATTTTGGGGGGTTGTTCACGGCAGCATCGTTCGTAGGGGCAGAAACGCAGAAGCAACCCCCATGCACAGTAACGAGGGACTCGGGGAGCTAGTGATCATGCGGTGAGGAGTCGTGCAGCCGGTAACCATCACGACTGTGCGAGGATTTGGGGAGAGGACAGGGAGACTGTCCTTTTTTTTGAGGACTTTGTATTAAAAAATATTTTTTTAACCTTATTTTTGAGAGAGGGAGAGAGAGAGAGACAGAATATGAGCAGGGGAGGCGCAGACAGGGAGGGAGACACAGAATCCCAAGCAGGCTCCAGGCT